TGGTATATTAGCTAAAATATTAAGAGGGCCTTGTTTATCCATGATTGGACTTATACAATGGCATATATGATTTTTCCCACATGAGAGCACAAGGTGAAATGGCTGATTCCTTGAGATAAATGCTAATTTTTCCAGATTTTTATTATTTTAAATTTTTAAAAAAATGTTTTTAGTGTTTATGCTATATAGTAATTCAACACTGTGCAATGTGATACTCAATGTTTGAAGATAGCTAAATCCTGCATTAGACAAATTTTGACAAATTTTAATAAATATATATTATTTTAAAATATTGGGTTTAAAGCAGTGGTTCCCAAAGTGGGCGGTACTGCCCCTGGGGGGGGGATGCCTTAGGGGGGTGCTAAAAGGCAAGGGGGCTGGCAGGGGAGCGCTAAGAGGTGGCAGGGGGGCGTTTGAGGTGCCGGCCCCACAGGCTCACCCCATTGACTGTTGCACTGCTCCAGAGCTGACACCTCAAATGTGGCAGAGGTGGTACGTACGTTCAATGCGCCAGCTCCGCATTGAGCCCCTTGCATCACTCCAGTGCAACAGTCAATGGGGTAAGCCTGCAGGCCGGGCATCTTGAACGCCCCCTTGCCGCCTCTTAGCACCTCCAAGGGGGTCAGCAGAGGGGTGCTAAGAAGCGGCAGGGGGGCGTTCGAGTCACTGGCCCTGCAGGATCACCCCATTGACTGTTGCACCACATCGAAGCTGGTGCCTCGAATGCGGTGGAGTTGGCTTTTCCCAACGTGCTGCTGCATTCGAGGCGCTGGCTCCAGAGTAGTGCAACAGTCAGTGGGGTGAGCCTGTGGGGCCAGTGCCTCAAACACCCCCCTGCTGCCTCTTAGCGCCTCTCTGCCGACCCCCTTGAGGACGCTAAGAGTCAGCGGGGGGGCGTTCGAGGCACCAGCACCGCAGGCTCACCCCATTGGCTGTTGCACCGGAGCGGTGCAAGGGGCTCAATGGGGTGAGCCTGCGAAGCCGGCGCGTTGAACGCAGTGGCGGCAGCACATTGGGAAAGTACCTCTATTTTCCGTGCTGCCACTGTCCCATTCTGTCTGTCTGTCCATCCATATGTCCATCCATTCACCCCAAAGGTCTGTCTGCCTGCCTGCTCTCCTGCCTGCCTACCTACCTGCCTGTCTTTTTGTCTACCTACCTCCTATCAATATAGATCTATCTACCTTCCTACCTACCTACCTTCCTACCTATCCATGCATCCATCGAAAAGGTCTGTCTTCCTGCCTGCCTGCCTGCCTGCCTACCTATCCATACATTCATCCAAAAGGTCTGCCTGCCTGCCTGCCTACCTATCTACCAATCTATCTATCTATCTATCTGTCTGTCTGTCTGTCTGTCTGTCTGTCTCTCTATCCATCCATCCATCCATCCATCCACGTTCGAAGCATTGGGCCCGCAGGCACATCGGGAAAGTAGAGCAAAGCCAGTCTGGGAGGGAGGGAGGGAGGGAGGGAGGGAGGGAGGGAGGGAGGGAGAGAGAGAGAGAGAGAGAGAGAGAGAGAGAGAGAGAGAAACCTGATGCATCAGATTGAAATGAGGCCTAGTTTAGACTGAGGCCCTTTTCCACATTGAAACATCTTTGCCAGCACATTGAAACCTCTTTGGCTTCTATTAAAGGTTTTGTGGACGAAACATGGTCAAGACTATCAGAAAGCTCTCACATTTTGTTGAGGCTTTAAACACGATCCATTGGACCAGATCTCCACCCTAAAAAATTACTTTTCCCCAATGTATTACAGTGCCAGTTCTGAAGAAGGCAAAACCAAAACTGGTAAATTACAAGAACACACACACACACTCCCTTCTAACCCTGCTGGAGCAGGTGTAGCACTAGTATAGATATCTCATTATCTTTCTCCTCCCTCTCTCCCTCCTTTATTTCTTTTTCTTTCTGTCCCTTCCTTCCATCCTCCCCCTTTCTTTGTCTGTTCCTTTTTCTTTCTTTCCCTTTTCTTTTTCTTTTATTCCTTCTCTCTTTCTCTCTCTTTCTTTTCTCTCTCTCTCTTTCCCTCTCTCAGGCTCACCCCATTGACTTTTGCTTGGGCAGGTCTCTCCGGTGCAGGTCCCTCCGGTGAAGCGGGCTCAATGGGGTGGATTGCAGGGCTGGCACCTAGAACGCGGCAGTGGCGGCACGTTTGAAAAGTAGAGCAAAGCCAGAGGTCAGTAATTTTTGCTGCAAAGAATCACAAAAGCTTCTGGGTTGTGCACAAGAAGAGACACACATGTCAATGCAATTCAGCAACATAAAGAAATACAAATAAAAATCAAGAAGAATCTGCAAAGCATTTCTGGTTAGATTCTATTCACTACTAGAATCTAATCAGAGATGCTTTGCCGATTTTAGTGCAATGACCTGCTCCAGCAGGGTCAGAAGGGAGTGTGTGTGTATGTGTGTGCATGGCTGTCAAAACTCCAAAAACAGGTCAAGAAGCTCCGGGGAGGCCAGTCATAAATTAGAACACTTGCTAAGCAACCGGCCATTAAGTGAGGACTACTTGTATTTGGTTTGCCAGTCACCTGGCAATGCCTACCCAGTCACATGACCACCAAACCACAACTACTCGGTCACGTGACCAGCAAGCCACGCCCACCCAGTCACATGACCAGTAAGCCACACCCACCCAGTCACGTGACCAGCAAGCCACACCCTCAAATTAGGCCACACCCACAGAAATTTGAATCCCAGGAACTTCCGGTTTGAGTTTCTTCAGCGACAGACCAAAACCTCGTCTCTGCGACGCTTCGATCCGTGCTCGCCACTGGAGTGCTCCGAGCCGGCTGGCTTCGGGGCTAAGCCACCCCGTAGAGGTGATGAAGAGGGGGGAGACTGCCAGCAGGGTTGAGGAGAGCCGCATCTCTCCTCCCCAGCTGGCCATTACTTCCTTTCCTGAAGGCAGTTGCAGCGGTGGTCAGAAATGGCCACCTCAAAGAAGAACTCGACCGGAAAAGAATGTGCAGGAGGAAGATAAGTGAAAGTTTTGGTTGACCGGGTCAAACAGCAAAAGTAACAAACAAGGTACCCTGGAATTGAAACTGTTAAAAAACAATAACATTGTTCCCTAAGAAGATTTTTAAGCTGCGAAGGAGAGAGAAAAGGGAAAAGATTTGGTTTTCTCATTTTCTTATACTGACAGCTAAGAGACTTAAGCAAGAAATTGGAAAAAAAAATCCACTTTGACATCAATAGGCATTTAATGCTGAAAATAAAAATTCAAAGGGATAATAAAGATTTCTGGATAATTAAAAGCTTTTGAAAACAGGAAACGAGAGAAAAAGAATAAAAGGGTAGGATCTGGAAGGGAGGAGACTGCCTGGAATTAAAAAAGAATTTACAGCAAAATCTCAACAAGACTTCCAAAAGATACATTCTAACTGAAATATCGCAACAAAAATCCCAGGAAGAGAAAGTTGAAAAAGAAATAAGAAGATATAACTTGGGATTATCTGGATTACTTGATGATTTCTGGATTCTTGGGTATTGTTTTGAATGACTAAAATCAATCGGATGGTTGTTTAAAACTGTTTAAAATGGCTCCACTTTTAGAAGAACTGAAAATGAAACTTAAAAAGTACAAAGAAGATGCACAAGAGAGGTTCTTTTGGCTTCGTATTTCAGTTTTTGGAAATGGAGATTTGGAATTATGAGAAACAACAAGAAATGCCTGCAGAACAAGAAGATTGCAACAAAGAAGCCATCTTTAATGAACAAGTAATCTTAGATGGGGGAAAAAAAGGAAAGGGGGGAAAGAGAATGGAAAGTTTAAGATTGGGAAAAACAACTCCAAAAAAAATAGAGTGAAAAATAAGTATAAAATCAGAAAGCAACAGAACAGGCAAATGCAGAAGAGAGAATTAGAACTAGAGAGGCAAGGGGGTAAAAGGGGGAGGGAGAAGATGAGAGGGAAGAAAGGAAAAGAAGTTATAAAGGACAGAAGCAAAATATAGAGAAACAGGGCCTATTTAGAGATAATGGGTGAAAACTTAATGGAAAAAGGGATTCTGCAAAGGTACATAAGATAGTATGGTTATATTAGAAGCAGAAATAATTTTAGAAAATATGAAACAATGTATGATTAAAATGTCTGATAAAATAGCTATTGTAATTCAGTGGAATGCTTGTCAATAAATAAATGTAACAAAAGGTATATTTAATAATTTATAAAACATATGTGAAGAGAAATAAGGGAAAAATTTATTATGGAGATTATGTGTGTTTTTAAGGAAGTATGATATTTAATTGAAAAGAAGTGTTAAAGATGTTAAGATTTTAATGATTATTAATGATAGAACTGAACTGGAATAGAATGAGGGTTTATAATTACATATATTTACAATCTTTCTTTCTTTTTTAAAGAATATAGTGTGTATTATAAGAATGTACCAAGCAGAATTCGATTGGAAGTTATGTATTATGTATTATATTGAAGGTCATAAACTTAAGGTATATATTGAAGTTTAAATAAGAGTTGAATGGATGTAATTGAAAGGTATAAAGGTGTCATACTCCAATTAGTAACTACAGGAGAAAATTTGTTTAATGAGAAAAGATAATATGAAATTGAAACAGAACAGACAAAAGTATAAATATAATGATTTGAATTGAGATGAGATAATCAAAATAAAATTGAGAAAATTAAAAGAGGGGAAAAACTATATAGAAAATGTAAAATAGTATAAGATATGGAACAGAATACAAAAAGGAGCATGAAATTGAGTTTTGTGTCTGTATAAAGAAATTCAACCCGGGACCATGCTATTTTCAAAAAAGATGTTTTACTTGTATTTTGTGTGTGAAAACCCAAATAAAACTTTATTAAAAAAAAAGAAATTTGAATCCCATTCCTGGGTGGGGGGCACCAAGGATGAGTTTGCAGCACCAAGGGGGTGGTGGACTGAAAAAGTTTGGGAACCACTGGTTTAAAGCAATAAAACCAAACAGTAATCAAGTCATAATTTCAATACTGCAACACCAATATAGAAAAAACCATTAAATTTCTTTTTAAAAAAATTTAATAGCTCTTTTAAAATAATGACAAATATTGAAAAAACAAAACAACATTGGAAAAGATAAAAATACATACTTTGCCAAAAGGAAAAAAACCCACATAGAAAGTTCTTTTAAAAAGTGAAAAAAATATAAAGGAAAAAAAAGGTGTATCGTTTTAGCAGTAACTAGTTAAAATTCTATTAGATAAAATAGTTATTTATTGCAATTTTTATTCAAGTACACACAGACACACACATAATTTATGTATCATTTTAAGTTGTATTTTGTTTAAATGAGCCCTGTATTTCATTATATTTGTCCATACAAATTCTACATCTATAGGCAATTCACTTACAGATGTCAAGTGCTGTCAGGCCCTCAATCCATTGAAGGAAAAGCCATACATTTACCTTACCAATGTTATAATGTCAGTTATTTAGTTATAATAAAGACACAGAGAAGCCATTGCCCAGTTGTCAAATTCTAAGGACAAGGTACATAGTTCAAAAGAATACTATTGACTGAAAATTCTAGTTTTTTCTCATATGATTATATTTATGTAATTTAGTACTTTCTCCCAAAACTTGGTAAGTGCAAGACTGTAAAAAGGTGTGTTTTAAAAAACCATTACTTTATCTCCAACAAAATGTTGTTTTTAAAAATCCTTTTCTATACATACATAACAAATTCTAAGTAATATTTTTTGTTCTATAAGTCATAATTTGAATCCAGTGGCACTCTTGCTACAGAAGTTCAAATAGTCTCTAATTGTCTAGGCAACAGAAGAATTTCAAAATTATTTATTCCATTAATTTCTTATGATCTTCATATCATATTGAATAATTGATAAGAAGTATCTTTTAAAATGAATAACAGTTTTTTTTTAAATGTAAAGGATTTAACAAGTTGTTCTAATATATCAAGTGTCTCAAAGCTAAACATACTGGTGATCCAATGTTGTTAACAAACAATGTAACTGTAAATATAACCATGAAGTAAATAATTTTTGTCTTTTAACACAGACCGTTAAGTTTCATCATCCTCTATCAGTTGGTACAAATTCAATAGCTCTCTTTCCATTCAATTTTTCCATATTACACCATTGTTTTAATCTCTCTTGAAAAGGGTGTCCAATTCATATTCTAGAATAGAATAGATAAACAGAGTTGGAAGGGACCTTGGAGGTCTTCTAGTCCAACCCCCTGCCTTGGCAGGAAACCCTTCACCACTTCAGACAAATGGTTGTCCAATCTCTTCTTAAAAACTACCACTGTTGGAGCATTTACAACTTCTGGAGGCAAGTTGTTCCACTGATTAATTCTTCTAAATGTCAGGAAATTCTTCCTTAGTTCTCGGTTGCTTCTCTCCTTGATTAGTTTCCACCCATTGCTTCTTGTCCTGCCCTCAGGTGCTTTGGAGAATAGCTTGACTCCCTCTTCTTTGTGGGAGCCCCTCAAATATTGGAAGACTGCTAGCATGTCTCCCTTAGTCCTTCTTTTCATTAGACTAGACATACCCAATTCCTGCAACCATTATTTTTATGTTTTAGCCTCCAGTCCCCTAATCATTTTTGTTGCTCTTCTCTGCACTCTCTCTAGAGTCCCAACATCTTTTTTACATCGTGGCGACCAAAACTGAAAGCAATATTCCAAGTGTGGCCTTACCACATGATTCTAATTTACAGGTGATTTTGAAAGGACCCCAGAACACACATCAGGTCTATGTGTCTGGAGACAAAGTATCATCACTGAGAAGACTCTGTTTTTTGCCACCACTTCTTTAATCTGAGAGTGTGATGACTCGGTGAAAGGACTGGAACAGCCCACAAGTTTCATGCAGTTGAAAAAGATCCTTTAGGATTGGTTTAGAAGCACCCAAGCAGAGGATGGGTTTAGAAGCATGATTGTCTTAATTTTTTTTTTACATTCACATACAATATCCAAACATCCTTTGATAAGTTGTTCCAAGTGGATAGAGTTAGTTTGATTGTGTCCACCATCCCTAAAATGTTTAAAATGGTGAAGAGTGGTCAGGGGAAGTCTTTTTTAAACATTTCGTCTAGATTAGCATTAAAGGAAGGGCAGATTCCAATATGGCTTCCATCTGTAAAGTTCTAGGTTACAATATATAGACTTTGCTTCTGAATTGTTCTCTCAGGTTATTTCTTGCAAAGGTTCTGGTTTAAATGTCTATGGAGATTCTCAATCATCCAGGTCATGGTTGTCCCAAAGGTGCTTTTTTCAAGAGGCAACCTGAGCTGAAGAAGCTCTTTTGACAAGAAACAAAATGTCTTCAAAGAAAAACCAGAAACTCCAGTTGCCTCTTGGAAAAAAAGCACCTTTGGGTTCTGGTTTAAACACTCAGGTTTGCAGCCACATCAGTCACAGGATTCCTGCAGCCACATAGTTTCTCTCTCTTCTACAATCTCCTGTCTCACCCAAACCTTTATTTGTAGAGGCTGAGGGAAGGACTGTGGTAGAAGCACATGTAAGCATCACAGAGCAAGCGGCGGGCATAAGAGGGCAAAGATTTGGGATCCAAGCCTTGCAGAGTTTCTATGGGCATTTCCAAGTAATCTGCTACTTCTGAACAAGGTGTGACCTGAGGGATGTTAAAGCCATTCAATCCACCTTGGGAAAGAAAAAAAATATAGGCATAAGGATTGAGGGTATGCATGGAAAGAAACAGAAGAGGAAAGCAAATCAACTTACTATTGGAATTCCAACCTTTGATCAGTGGGATTTCGGCCCTTTCAATAAACAGCATCTCTGAAAATGTCTACCTTTATTTATTTTTCTGAGATTTAGGGGAAAAAAAATTCAGGCCAAGCAAAAGTCCCCATCAAGTATCCAATAAATTTGCTTATTAAGACCATTATAAGATATTTATCCAAGCAACAAACATATTGTTTAGATTTCAGGCTATCATGGCTGCTGTTCATTTGAATTGTATGTTTTATGTTCTCAAAAGTAAGAGAAAAATAAAGACTCCTTTGAGCTAAGCTCAATGCCTGGTATAGCACTGAGCAATAGCACTTACACTTATATACCGCTTCACAGTTCTTTATAGCCCTCTCTAAGCTGTCTACAGAGTCAGCATATTGCCCCCAACAATCTGGGTCCTCATTTTACTGACCTCAGGAGGATGGAAGGGTGAGTGAATGGTGAAAGGCATGGTGAGAATGGAGCGAAAGGTGAGATTTGAACTGCTGGCAGCTGGAAGTCAAAAGAAGTAGCCTGCAGTATTGCATTCTAACCACTGCACCATCACAGCTCTCAATGGAGGTAGCTTGCCATTGCCACCTTCTGATTAATTAATTAATTCATTATTAATTGATTATTGTTTTAGGCTAGCCCAATGTTTCTCAACCTTGGCAGTTTGAAGTCAATCCCTCTTTAAATGGTCAATGATGAAAAACATTGATCCAACCAAAAGCCATGGGGTTTTCTAGAGGTTCATATTCAAGTATGAACCAGGTCTGATCTGATTTAGCTTTTCAAGATTAGTCAGAGTTAATTAGGGACTGCCCCCTGTTATAGCACATCACTTAGACTTATGTACCACTTCACAATGCTTTACAGCCCTGTCTAATCAGTTTACAGACTCAGCCTATTATCCCCAGCAATCTGAATCCTCATTTTACTGACTTCGGAAGGATGGAAGTCTGAGTCAACCTTAAGCCTGGTGAGATTCAAACTGCCCAACTGCAGGCAGTTATTGCAGTTATGGCTCACTTTAAGTTACTGTATACACATTTTAACTCTGCCTAGGTTATTGGAACTTCCATTTACTTTTTAAATCCCATTTGTGTGCAAATAATCTTGCCTATAAACAATAATAGTAGAGGGGATAAGAATGATTCAACCAAACTGCAAACTGAACAGTTGATTAATTTGTGGAATTGGATACAGGTTAAGTCCTCTATTTACAACTGTTCTTTTAGTGACCATTTGAAGTTACAACAACATTGAACAAAGTGACTTTGGCCATTTTTCACACTTACGACCACTGCAGCATCCCCATGGTCACATGATTTACATTCAGATGCTTGACAGGATGACTCACATTTATGACGATTGCAGCATCCTGAGAGGGTCACGTGATCCCCTTTTATGACCTTCTGACAAGCAAAGTCAATGGGGGAGCTTAACCACCGTGTTATTAATTTAAGAACTGCAGTGATTCACTTAACAAATGTGGCGAGAAAAGTTGTAAAATAGTAAGAAGTCATTTCTCACTTAGCGATATAAATTTTGGGCTCCATTGTGGTCATAAGTTGAGGACTCCCTGTAGGGATGGACGTCAAATTTTTTAGCAACGGGTTCTCTGCCCAGTTGCTGGGTGGGCGTGGCCATGGTGGGCATGGCCTAGTTGGCCTCCTGCACCATGGTGTGTGTGGGGGGGTGTTTTTGCCCTCCCCTGGCTCTGGAGGCTTTCCTCGAGTCTCCGGGAGGGTGAAAACAGCCTCCCCGGGCTCTGGAGGCTCTTTGGAAGCTGAAAATGGATCCATTTCTGGCCTTCCTGAACTTCCGGAGGCCAGTTTTTCACCCTCCTTGAGCCTCCGCGCACGCCCTGCATTTATCTGCATCCAAAACAGGCTGCGTGGGGACTCGTAGGAGGGGAGGGCCAGGGGTGGGATTTGTGGTTTCTCCAAACTGCATAGAATCTTAGCTAGGGGCTCTCTCGAATCCTGGCAAACCCCGAGCAGCCTACCTCTGACTTCCTGTACTTTCCAATTGTCAATTTGGACAGCGTTTAATACTTCAACCTATTTGCAAAGAAGGCTTTTTTGTTTTCTGAATCCCCTCAAAAAGTCCAAATCAAACTAATTCTGAGGATTCAGTTTCAACGTTCAGACAGAGGGAGATTTCCAAGTCAGTTCACTACTGGAATGTAACTGAGTCAACAAATCAGTCCAATTTCACAAGCTAAACAAACCTTGGTTTTCTTTGGAAAACACGTTTTGAAAAAACTCACCCTCACGGTCTGCCATACTATCAAAGAAAAGCCACTGGTGGACATCTGGGCCGTGGCGGGTAAAGCCCACATAATGACTTGTTTCAATGCAGAGAACTGCAAAGAGCTGCATTGTCTGGCGGGGAATGGTCTCTGGCAAAGAGCCAAAGTGAGAAAACTCCTCAGGAAGATGCAGAGGACGGGGTTGGTGGTACCGTCGGGCCCGGTGCTTGTGAACCTGTAGATTAGTGCCCAAAGAACACCAAAAGATAGTAAACAAATCTGCCTTGAGTCTTTCCAGTTGGGCAAACATACACACTTAGTAATTTGTTCCCGTGCTTCCCCCAAAATAAGACTGCGTCTTATATTAATTTTTGCTCCAAAAGAGACATTATTTTCCAGTTAGGTCTTATTTTCAGGAAAATACGGTACTAAACATGTCTGTTTGGCTGACCATCTTAACTGGGGCTTATTTGGGTGGTATGGATATTATTCTGAGCATCATGAAAAATCATGCTAGGGCTTATTTTCTAGGAGGGGCTTATTTTCGGGAAAATATGGTAACAACAATAAAACCAGAATTAATCAAGCAACACAAACTCAGATGACTCTTTTGCAAGGTCCTTTCTTGATTATTGAGTTATCCATTACCTTTTTTCCCTTTTATTAAAAAAAAGCTCCACTATAAACAGGACTAGAAGCATGTATTTCCTATCTCAGAATTCATGAAGCCTTTAGGCATGAAATCCTAACCCTTTGCTCAGTGTAGGAATCCACATTCTGGAAAGTCTAAAATTCCCAGATAGATGGTTATCTAGCTTCCATTTGATCACATCCAATGAAGGAGAGCAACCTGAGTAATTGTGCAACTGCTCTTCTAAAGCAGAATTCCCCAACTTTTCTAGGTTGTCGGCCTGAGAGCAGAAGGGGCGCGATGGCTTTACACGCATGTGCACATGTGAAGTGCACGAATGAGGTCACGAGTGCATACACAATGCAAACAGGGCCACGAGCACAAAGCTCACCGCAATGCTAGTGCAAGCACAATACTCAGCTTGATGCTCACAACGCTAGCGCTTGTGTGACCTGCGCAATGCTTGTCACACTAGTGTGGAGTGTGGGTGACCACATAGACACATGTGCACTGGCCAGCCACTCACATAGTCTGGTTGCTAGTAGGATACGGCCCAGTAGTGGGCTGCAGCTGACAGGTTGGGGACCCCTGGTCTAAAGCATTTTTTATAAGCATCTTCTAATAAGTAATTACTACCTGTTTTCTCCTTTAATCCATATCCTGCTTTCTGGAAGAGGAGAGGGCAGGTATTCTATTCAACGAGTTATCAGATATTAGAAGAAGAGAATTATATTCCTCTTCACTCACCTTTTTGAAGACTATACATACCCAGAATAAGCCACATAGAATAGCTCCACTGCATGATAGGCGGCAAATAAATTTAACAAAAAAATAAATACAAAAAAATAAGGCAAAGCAAGCACAGGAATCTTCTTTAACATGGCTTTGGTGTGTTGGGCTGAAACCTTGGATTTCTAATTTTAGTACATGCAACTGACACCAAATTTTTTAAAAGACAGTTTGACAATAGCAATAGCACTTAGACTTATATACCGATTCACAGTGCTTTTACAGCCCTCTCTAAGCAGTGTACAGAGTCAGCATATTGCCCCCAACAATTTGGGTCCTCATTTTACCCACCTCGGAAGGATGGAAGGCTGAGTCAACCTTGAGCGTGGTGAGATTTGAAATGCCAAATTGCAGGCAGCCGGCAGTCAGAAATAGCCTGCAGTATTGCATTCTAACCACTATGCCACCACAGTATCATGATACTCATGGTTTTACCCTCAG